TCAGAGTGCCTAAATGACCAAGTAAGTTTAGACATACAAGTTGGAAAGAGAAAACATTTTGATTGTGTCCTCATCATTGAGAAAAGAAAGACTTAGTTAATAAGGCAATGGGTCAGAGCATCACATTTTTATGGTATTTCCAAATTCTCAACAGATATTTTCAGGATTCAAGGAAAAATATAGGAATTCCTGGGAATTCTCAAATCATAAGTTATTTCATATTTTTAATAGTACTTATGTGTTCTTAAATACCGATGAGTTGTGATAATAAGCAGTGTATGATTTTTCTATGATAGTTATATTAAAAGTTTCAGAGGTTTTCCATAAAAGTAAAGACATAATAAATGCACGTTACAAGAACATATATTCCAATAATATGTAAAAATGATCTCTGATAATAGAAAAAATTAACAGAAGAAAATTAACACTATACACCAAATAAAACTGATTTAAAAACCGAAAGGCATTAAAAATATTTAAAAGTAATCATTCTTAAAAAAAGATTTAAATGCACAAAGCGTGAATTGCCCTAGCTGATAGTCTTGATCTTTGTTTGATAACTCATATTCTAGATGTGGAAACATTTCTTTCATTTTGTATTGATATTTGTTGAATTAAGTATGTCCAAAAGCATTTGACGTTGAGTATTATAGCTCACATAGCTTCAGATAAGTGCATTTATTTATTTAATTTTATTTTGTGTACTTGCCTTGATTTTTGGAAATTAATATTGCTTTTGATAGGTTCTGATTTCATGTGGGAACATCGCACAATGATCCATATCTTCTTTGCATTTCTTCTACGAAAGTAAATTTACAAAGAGGGCGTCTGGTTCTGCAGTGTTCTCATTCCTCCTAGGTCCTCCTTCTCATAACTAGGAACCCTGGGCGTAACTTAACAAGCAACCCTAGGAATACTCTGAAGGTTGAAAAGGAGGAGGTGGACTACTTAGGTTCCTCAGGACACCAGGACTGGCATGGCCGCAAATTCCCTGGGTTTCCTGTCGCCTACTTTTCTAAGTTTTTTTTTTTTTTTTAAAGTAGTCATCATTTGAAAAATGTTCTTTATAGTTACATACAATGGGTTTATTATTTTAAAAAATGATTTAAACATTTAAAATGTTTCTTTTAAAATTTTCAATACGGTAAATATGGATACATAACACACACAAACAGAAATCCTTCATCATTTTTAAGACTGTAAAGATATCTCGAGACCCAAAAGTTTGAAACCTTCTGTGATATCTGGCACTATTTGCTTACTGATTGTTAAGTATTACGGATAGGGATACATTTGAATGTAAATATATTCATAGAATTTGGATGACATGATGTCCAACCACAATTCAATTCTGTACCTTAGCGATATAGGGTTCATTTTCTCCCTAATGACATTACTGCCACGTGGAGAGCTGCTCTAATATAAGGAGACAACTCATATTTCAGTTCCACGCATGAAGCCAAATACTCGGTTTAGAATTTAATTGATGGATTTGAAGAAAATGGGATGTTCTGAGGCTTTACCACAGCTACTTCTATTTTTTAATAGACTACTTTTAGAGCAGTTTTAGGTTTACAGAAAAATCGAGCAGTTAAGTAGAGAGTTCTCGTATATCCTCTGACCCCACACTTGCACAGCGTCCCCAGCCATCAACATCCCAGCACCAAAGTGGTAGATTTGTTACAATTGGTGAACCTCCACTGACAGATGATTACCCCCCAGCCTGTACTTCGCTTCATCCCCACTAACCCTTGGCAACCGTAGATCTTTTTATTGTCTCTATTGTTTTGCCTTTTCTGGAATGTTATGTAGTTGGAATCATACAGTCTATAGTGCTTTCAGAGGACCTCAGCTTCTTTTTAAGAACATTTGAGGAATTTTAGTGACAAAATCAGGTCAAGACTTAGTAAATCTTTTTGTATGTTTATTTACTTTGCATTATGATAAAATTCACACGTACTTATCTTTATGGTTATCCTCTCACATTCCAGAGTCAGCTACCAGAGGCCAGGAACTCTCTCTCTTTAATTTGGGGTCACAGTGCCAATAGAGCCCAGTCCGATTTACAAACAGGTCCTCATTGCTATTTGATGAAGCTTGTTCTCTCAGCGAAATGCTCCTGGAATTGAATCCTTCTGCACTGGTAGAAAAGGGTTTATTTTACTCTAGAGTAATTATTTCGGTGACAAATAAGAAAAAACTACAAAACCAGCACATACGCCCTTCACAGGAGAGCAACTGTTCTCAGGAGACTCTAGAAGTTCTAATTATCAGCTCCTTTACGTTTCTGAGTAGGCTCTTAAAACTTCAGAATTATTGTAATTTTGAATCGCAAGTACCAAGGGGGCTGGTGTTTACAATTGTATTAAATAGTTTGAAATGCACGGAGTAGTTCGTCAGCATCCAGGACAATAAAGATACACATAATAAGGGATATAATTGGAGGAGGGGTAAAAACAGCAGAGAAACTAAGTTCCAGCTTCCACTTTCTTCGCGAGTCCTAATAACCCAGTTAAGAGTTTGTACCATTTGAAGGCAAGGGGCTGAGATATGAAATTCCAGTTTCTCCAAAGTAAACATTCCTTTCTAGATTATTCCTTTTGGCTCGCTTGAGGCAGCAAAGTAGAATAGTTTCCCTTTGTCTACTTTAGTAGGAAAAATAACGCTATCAGGAGCCCAGCGCTGGTCAGCAGCTTTGTCACTACAGCTGTGCACTCAAAGCGACTGCTGAGACCTCGGTTTCCTGACCTGTAATACAAGGGGAGGGGCTGGAGACGCATGTCACAGATTCGCAGCTCTTCGTCGCCCTGTCAGCCACGAGCAGGGTGCAGAGTTTGGAGGCAGCGCGCACCACTCTTGGCTGAAGGAGCGCTGTCTTTGGCCGGTCCTGATCCGTGGCGAATCCAGACCGGGTTGTGGCCCCAGCCCGGGGGCGGGGCCTCGCGCGG